GCATGCATGGAAAGGAATCTATGTGCACAAAAATGCTCTGTCTCTGCATAGTAGTAAATCCTGTAGCCTTCTGCGGGTATTTGCCGAGCTGCTGTGCAGAGAGCTCTTGTGAACTCGGTGTGGAAACACTAATTTCACACTTGCTGTTTACACCACAGTACCTGTACCTTTATTTATCGGGGTTTTACTGATGTGCAACAGCGCGTGCGAGTGATGCCACAGCCTCTGTGCTGTTCTTAAGTAAATTCATGCACCTTCCTGCTTATGTAATTGATATATTTGATTTGTTGGACCTTTTCATTCCAGTCAAATGGTGCTGAGCAGTTTGGAGTCGACAGCAGGAACCTCTTCCAGGAAGAGAGCCAACCCGCCGGCTCTGATGTGCCCCCAGCCCTGCCGCCAAAAACGGGTACGCCTACCAGACCTCCTCCTCCACCTCCAGGTCAGTTGATCCTGTTATCCAGAAAACAAAAAGCGCCTGTAACTCTGCTCGGTTGGAACAGTGTAGCTATCACACGTCTGGGGATGTGCCAGCAGTGTTCATGAAATAAAAGCTGCCTTTGCTGAGTCTGCCCGTCTGTGCCCCGTCAGGTAAGAAATCATCCATCAATCGAACGGAGTCCTCCGACTCCTTCCATCGACGAGGAAACTTCATGCCACAGACTTCAGGAGACTTCTCCTCCTCTTCCTCCTCCTCCTCTCTGCCTGCAAAGGATCCTTTAGCCGACCCCTTCGCCCCCTCCTCCCCTCCTCGCCGCAACGCACGGGAAGCTGACGGATTTGCCAGCTTTGACAAAGTGAGCAACTCCCTCTCCCCATCTCCCTCACCTCCACCTGAATGTCAATAGTCACACCCTCTTCTCTTTTTCCTCCTTGTAAACCAACATGTAGTTACTCAATAAGGATACAACCTCCGAGCAAATCAGGCCAGCTTATGAAATCACTCCATCCACTGCCACTGACGAGCCTTACAGTGAACTAACCAGCTTATTAAAGCGTCACACGTTACGTGATTCATACGCTTCTCCCAGTTAAAACAATAAAATCTTGTAAATCTTGTATTTTTGTTTTGGGTTTTTTTGGTTTCTTTTGCATTTCTGCTGCTTGTGTATATGTCAGACTATTGTTAATAATACAATGCTGTCTAACCCTGTAAACATTTCTTTTCACCCGCTCTATTATGGGTTCATAATGAGATTTCACCTCATTTACCTCTATGACTGAAGATGCACTCTTACTTTGTGAGGAAATGCATAGAAATTATATATATTCTTATTATATCTTCTATATAAGTCCAGAATGTTTGGCAGTGAATGGAGAGATGACAGGCTGCTTGTATTTGGCTTTTTATTAGCCATCCCAACTTTGTCACATTGACATTACTTCCTGTGCAAGTTTAGAGTCTCTATAATTACCGATGTAATTATCTGAGTTTTTATTCTTCTTTTAACACTAAATTTGTCTCAGGGACATTTTCCCCACCCACGGGGCATAGTGGCATCAGTTGACTCATGAGCTGCATTCATACTCTTTATACCTCCGAACGTTTTTCAGTAAGTTGCTGTTTTATAACATCACTGATTTGGGATAAACACCTAACCTCGCCTCGAAACATTCAATAAGTGCAGGCTGCTGTGAAAACTTGAACCCAAAGAATGGTGGAGGGGTTTCTTTTTCCTCTCATTCATTCATGTGCTTCTAAAATTAATATATCGATAATAATATAAATAAAAGAAACCAGGAAGATGATTGTGTGGGTTAATCTTCGGGTCAAGTAGTTCTATTAGTTCAACCCTTTTTAATGCTGCATGGAAATGACCTGTGAAGTTGCATCACATCAGAACACTGTTGATCCTCCTGTCACGTGAGCACGCTCGCATGTACCTGTCAGTCGCCCACCTGCATGCACTAACTGTGTCTTTGACTCTCGTTGACTTACACCAGCGCCTCCACCGTTTCTCGAATCATCAACGTTTCCTTTCCCCTTCACTCTGCTGCTGTTTATTTATACAGGCTTTCCTCTGTTCATCCATTCATTCATCAGTTTGTGTCCTCGTGTGGTCAGCAGTGTGTTGTGGAGAAGCAGATTGACTGTATTCTCTCTGTGTTTCTTTACACCTCTGTTTAATAAAGTGTTGAATCAAGGCCACCATCTCCGGCTTCTATGTGCATCCATGACATCACCACCTGTAAACCCCTGAGTTTAAAGGATCAAGTGTTTTACATGTTCAGTTCATTTATCAGAGGTTTGCTTCAGCTTACTGTTGATAACTTCCCACACCATGTGTTGCATTTAGGATCATTTCCCAGCCCATAAACTGTAACTTCTGCATTGTAGTGCCGCTGCAAACAGAGACTGTAATTCAGCCAATTACATGAATGACCACATGGGCACAACAGTAATAAAGTTAGGTGCATTATTAATCATTATAGATTCATATGAAGGAAGGCTCATTTGGCCACAGGTTGATCTGTGTGTATATTTGTTACCCGGCGAGACAAACGGATACAAAGAAACCAGGAAATGACATTTCTGAGAAGCTACAGTGTGGTGTGCTGTCAAGTAAATGAACTAAAACATGTAAAACTCTGTAATGATCCTTTAAAGTATCTTAACAAGATAAGAAGACTATGAAGTTTTTTTCTTAAAGCTGTGGAATAAAAAGCACCGTTTCTCTTTCCATGTATCTTATTTATGTTTGATTTCATTCATATTTAAGAGAATTGGCGGGATGTTGTCTGCAACAAAGTGCATGTTCTCTGTCAGATCATCACATTCTGTACACGTCTTCTCGTGCATGTTCTGCATACGTGACCTCTTATTATCGGCTCTAAAACAGTTGCTAGGAGACTCCTTTGCATGGCTGGATGCACGTGGGATGACCTCTGTTGCTTCTGTCTGTCATTCGTTAAGAATAATGAACATATTTACACAGTCTGCAATGATTAACCAATTTAAGCAGTGGACTGTGTTTCCTTCCTACTCTTTTTGTGACCGTGGAGCTTTCAGTGCATGTGATTGTGCTCCTACAGCTGTGCCTGTTTGTCTTCTAGCATCGCAGTCCCTGCTTTTGCCCTGATCATGTGGCTGCAGGAACTTTGCAAGGGTATATATGTTGGAGGGAGGACTGTTTTCATTTGGATAAAGGGAAATCAATTTCAAT